TCAAGAGATTCGCTCCTGTTCTGACACTGAAGCCGTCCAGTACTCGTTTCTTATAGCCAGTGTCTTATAAAAAAATGAGTGTAGCTCGTTTTGTACTTTTTCGTGATATTCAAGCTCATTAAATTTACAGTTTCACAAGCACAAAAATATTTTTTAGTCCAAAATACTGAAATGTTTATTGTCTTCGGCGGTTTTTTCGTAAATGATTTTTAATGGTGCACCTGTCAATTAAGCTCTATGGGGGCTTATTACATATGCAAAATTTGGCCTACTAGGATGGGAGTTTATTTTGGGAACCTTATGTGGGGGGTCAACTCGTTGTTTTGGTCAAAGCTTGCCGAGACCTTCAGGAAACTTTAGGCTGGTATTAAGTATAGGAATATATCGATTGACTGACACAGCATTGCATCAAAACGGAGACAGCAGACATAGTATCTAGCAACTACAATCCCGGACATAAATGGTTGAGACTTTTCAAGGAAAGTTTATATTTTCATTATCTTTCAAGAAAACAACTCCCCCCCCCCCCCCCTTCCTCCAATTCAATGTTGAGCGCATGATTTTGAAGGAGAAATGATAGAACTACAAATCCAACATTGCTTCGGGGGAAAGGGGGGATTGGAATAAACAGTGGCAAGGTAAAGTAGCAAATTACAAAAATTGCATTTTGTCTCAACGCTTTGTCCGGGATTGTAGCTTTAATCAAGTTAAATCCAGAAAAATTGAAATTTCAGGCACATCCTACTTTTTGGGTAACTTTGCGCCCCCGCACCTAAGGTGTGGGGATGTTGGCGCACCCAAGATCTTGTCAAAAACAGCCATATTCTGCAGACCGGGCATTGCAGAAGTCATTGTATTTCATAAAATAAAACAATAACTTGACAATATTTTCAACAACAATTGCTTATCGGTTGGAGTTGTTAATTTGCTTTAGCCGTTCAAACATGCGAGAAGTGAAAGCTCTAAGAGGGCTGAGAGCACAGTGACAAAAATCTTTAGTATTAATCATTACACTGCAAAATATAACAATAGATGTGGGCTGTATAGGCATTACCCTGCAAAAATAAGAGTTCTAGAAGGTAAAGGAAGGGCCCATTCGCACTATGCTCTGACATTTGATTGTCATAGTTGATAATCTCACTTTTGATGGATGGCAGTCTACAAGCTTTTACATTTCTATTCTGTTGCGACTCTGATTGCTCTTTTATGTTGAAATGAATGAGGAAAACTCCAGTGCTTCCACTTGGGAGGATTTATCCTTTTTTCGGGAATTTTGGTCGATTGGAAGGATATAAGAAGGATTTACAAAGTAGAAGGAATTTGGAAGGATTTTCTAAGAAGTTGAGAGGAATTTGTGGAAATACGACAAATAACTAGAAAGTGATACAGCACTCGCCCATTATCCCTCCAAACACATATATACCCCAGTAGAAATTTGGTTTAGGGACTCAGGTTTAGACTCAGTCATTCTGTAGGTGCTAAAAAAGGCCTTAGTAGTGTATAGCGTATGTTTGTTGATCTGAAAAGACACAAAAACGTCAGGAAGTTGTATTATAATCAACCTGCCGAACCATTCTACAAGATGAGACACCAAAAATTGAACAAAAAAGTGCGATTTTTTTGGAGGGGAGGAGGCTATAATCCCTTCTAGCCCAATTGCTGTACAGTGCCTCGTTGCTAGCTAGCAATTGTTTTATGTATCAACATGGTTATAAATTATCATAATAATGTCGAGAAAACATTTACTCATAAAGTTTGAAGGAATGTCTTAAAATACAATTATATTTAGCTAGAATTTTGCACACATTGCCTGAATCTCATCGAACTGGGCGGTAAACAAAATGATTTCAAGTTTAGAACCCATGTCATTTCTAATGGTGATTTTAAAGCTGAAATCAAAATGTCCTAAGGTTTTTATGCTCCCATTTATAAAACATAGGTGTCCAATGACTATGTACGAAGAAGATGTGTGGTACCAAAGCTACTGGTATCTTTGATGGTACGTAATATGAGCTCAGTAAAGAGCGGTAGCAAAAAGTATTAGGCTTTGCTATGAAGATGTTTATAAAGAAAAAATATCAGAATACAGGGTCTCGATCAGAATTTACTTTTGTTGACATTGACGGTACTTTCATTGACGGTGGACCACGATCTCTCGGGCTAATTTGTTTTGATTTACTGTTAAAGCTCTACTGAGACCCGAGGGGGCTTATTTACTTCTTCAGTTTTAGAGGGGGGCTTATTTGAAAGGGGAGCTTATTTGCGAGGAGGGCTTATTAATCATTCAAAATAAAACATACAGTAAAAGCTCTATTGTCCTAGAGGGGGGCTTAAAAGAGCGGAGGGCTAATTAGAGAGAGGGGGCTTATTAAAAGTTTGAAGAAAAGAAATATAAAAATATCCTTGTATATTATTATGTTATAAAAATTCTTACAAATGTTCTCAGAAAACTTATTCAGGGTGGGTTTATTCAAGGGAGGCGCTTAATCGAAAGAGGCGCTTATTCAAAAAGTAGATTTTGGTGCAAATTGGGTTGTTCATTAATCTTTCTTGTCGAATTGCCTTCCAATTATGCTTTCGAATTCGAAAAAGCGCCGTTTCTGAAGGTTGAAGGATGGGCACTTATTCGAGGGGTGGGCGCTTATTCGAGGGGGCTCTTATTTGAGGGGGCGCTTGTTCGAGGCATTACGGTACATGGGCCGTATTTAATGCACACGTTTTTATATCATCAAACCCGTTAAGAGACCCAGTAACAAAGGCTAAAGAGGGGAGGGGGCTTAAAATAGAGAGTGGGGGCTTATTTGAAGATTTGGTTAGTTAGTTAGTTAGTTGAAGAGTCTTTGTTGGTTAGTTAGTTACTTACTTACTTACAAGGTCCGCCACCACTCTTATGTGTACTCGTTCTTCGTACAATAAAAACTCAATAATCTTTCAAATTAGCATTTTAAATCTTTTCTGTTTTTCTGGTGTAGGATGTTGCAGATTTTTAAAGGCATACGTGGTGTTCTTTCAGGATATGGGGTCGGAATTCTAAAATTCTGACAAAATGTTTTTGTGACATCAGCACTGCGAAATGACAAGAGGAGAGGTTCTTAACATGCATGAAGGGCTTTCCTCTTCCATTCTCCTTCTCAATTTCTTTCCCCGTTCTTCATCCTTTGACTTTCTGAGGCTCTGGCACACAGGGTAAGGGTAATCCTGCATTAAAAGACACTTTCGTGTAAGGACTTAGGTTGAGATATGACAATGCCCAGTACTTGAGTAGTAAGTTGAGACAATTTCTTTTTCAAGTACTGGCAAAATAGCATTAGATTTCCCAAAAAGGTTGAGATATTTACAATTTCTTGTTTCAAGTACTGGCAAAATAGGATTAGATTTCCTTATTACAAGCAGTAAATTATTTTGTAAAAAATTAGCTTTAAACTTGTTGAAGGTGTCTATTGTAGTTAAATTTGATTTTGATCAATTGTCTGGTATTTTTTCATTTAAAAGTCTCCAGCGTAAGTGGATATGAAGAAAATAAGAACATTTTGGGAAACTAAGACTCTACCTCTGAGCACGTCTGGAAGAATTAATTGTATTTCAGGAAAACCGGTTAGATGTCTCTATTGATTGGTTTTTGACACGAAATTGAATATAACACATGACTAAGCAAGAGTAAAATCAGTTCTGATACCTGTCCTTTATTATTTGCAGTTATAGTGTGGTGGATTAAGATTTTACCCGGACAAAAATAATGAAAAGCTGTAATTTGGCACATAGGTTCCATTCGATACTGGGAAAAACCAGAAGAAAAGCCCCAATTTGGGCAGATCCAATATGGCGCACTGATCAGCATGGGTTCAAATTTTGATGTCGCTAAAACCACATTATATGTACATATTCTAAAAGACAGATTCATGCTGAACAACTTTAATTCAACATACACGCTATTGGAATGTGGAAATAAGTACTTTCTGGTCAAAAATAGCAGATAGGGGGCAACTGGGCAATAGAATGTATACAGTGGTGGCGCCAGGGGAGGGCTAGGGCGCTACAGTCCCTCCATCGGAAGCATCTATCCCCCTTATCGGAAGAAAATTTTAGGTTATTGTCGGAACAAATTTGACAAAATAACGTACGAAAACTGCATATTATAGTCAATTTAGCCCCCCTGTTGAAGCTCCAGCCCCTCTGTCAGAAGATTTCTGGCGCCACCTCTGAATGTATATAAGTTTATTTATGAACAACTTATATATTAACAAGATCAAAACATGCGATGATGAAATCCTATCCAACAAGGAGCAGGTTAAGAATCCCGCTAAACATTTTGAAATTTCTGCAATCCGTGTATTATTCAGAGAAAATCTGCGACCAGCAAGTGTGTAGAATTCTATCGTTCCGTTGAGAAATTGCCAGATTTCCGCAATCTACGACAAATTTCTCTAAAATTCTGTTTTTCCACAAAAACTGATGACAACTTCATTTGGAGAAAAAAGGCAAGGATCTACCCTGTGCCTTGCAGACAAATATTCTTGCTGGTAATAACTGTGGGTACAAAGGTCTTTTAATGCAGAACATGAAAAAGGTGAACCACGTTGAAGAATACATATTTGTCTCAAAATTTTCCAATTTCCAAGTCCAGGTTTTCCGTTTTTCATAACAATTTTCCGGGTTTTGGGTCCTAGGTACTCTCAAAACACCCTCTTTTTCATGTGCGCACTTCTCAATTGAAAAGTTTGCAATTTTTGGGATTATACGTAATTTGGAAGATATCTCTTTTTCTGGTAAAGAAGGGCATAAAGGGAATATTACTGGCCCAGCATCAAGCTGTAGTTTTGTGCAGCCTCTTTGAATTTGCACTGAATCTTGCAGTGTTTTTTTTACGTCTTAGTAGCAAAAATTACTAAGATGGAGGATGTCAATGAAAAAAGTTGAAAAACTGAGTTTATAATGAAAAAATCATGTTGTTTGGACCGTTCGATTGCGAGTTACTTTGTTTTAAATATTTAGATATTTAGATCTTAGAGGGGGGGGGGCTAGGGGGACACGTCCCCCAGTTCTCAGTAGAATCGATTTTGTATTTCGTCTAAATTCGATGAGAAAATGTTGGGGGAGGGGTAATATTTTGACACCATACTTTTTGCGATGTAATCCTATGATTTTCAATCTGCCAAAAATTGTCATAGACGTTCCTTTTGGATAAACTGGCGTTCCCTGTTGGTAAAAGGGCGTTTTATGGTGGTTAAAAGGGCGTGGCTTAATTTTGTTTGGTTTGTCCCCCCAGAGCCAGTTATGGATTTCGAATGCTGATTTTGTGATGTTGTAACTTGAGGTACTTCTGGACAAGAAGATGTTGTTGTGGCCTAAGTAAGAGTGGATGAGAGCTTATCAAGTCCTAAGCTAGTAGCACTCTGAATGAATTCATGGCCCCTGGAATGAGAGGGAACGGCACGCAGCATCATAAAAACAAAGTTGTTGTATCATTTACGATTAGAGATGAACATGAAAACAAAAACCGGCTAGGCGTCAACTGTCTACAATACGATCATAGGCCAAGGTTTAAACGTCTGTACTCTGCAGGGCGTGATTCAATTATAAGATGCTGGCGAACAGATTCTGAGGTTAGAATCACTCTTTTTGCCTTTTAATGTTTTATTGAAAAAACGTTTCAACATATTTTGTATATAAGTAAGCTTCTTTTGTTATTGGTTTTGCTAGCTCGTTCTTTTTCCTGATGGGTGATTGTGATGTCCTTCTTACTTTTTTTTAAAACTTATCTATTTTTTAATGTGATGAAAAGGTGAAGGAAAGATCATCAAGGTTATAAAGGATGTAAAAAACATTCTCATTAAAACACTAGCATTTGTTTCTAATCACTATAAACAGAAAATCCTAGGAAGAGCTTCTCGTCCTCTTAAGCAACTCAAGATTACACAATTTAGACACCTCTCTTCTTTCTGTAGAATGATGACAGTTTTCAACAAGATATTGCATATACACAGTCGTTTCATGCATGCAAATTTCATTTTACCAACTATATGGCCAGACTGGAAACTTGCTGGGTGTCTGCAATACATCGCCCTCGCACATATCTGCATGCTTTTGCATATTGGCCATGCAGAAATCCCTAGATAGTAACATTAACCATTATTTACTCTAAGAATAGCTAAGAATGTATGATTTAAGGCACACAGTCTCAAATTTTTAAAGTTAACTAGTCCACACAAGATCTTAAGAAACAAAATTTCCAATCTTGTCTATGGCTTGTTAACTGAAGTTTTCCAATGATAGGGCAATTTAGATTGTGTGAAATTTCAAGTTTCAGCCTGCATTGCTACATTGACTTAGTAGGCCAGTTTAGACTAATATGTTTTGTTAAAAGCTTTTGTGTTTGTGCATAAAATTGCAATATTGTTATTAACATTGCCTTTATTTTTGGTATGTCTCTTTAATGGGCACAGTCACATGTAAGGCCACATGATAATGTTGTTGTGTTGATGCTTATGGAAAGGGTGAATCCACCACAGCAACTGAAGTGAGATTTGGTAGGATAGAAAATCAAAGCGCATTAAGAAGTTTTTAGTGATTTTGTCAGTGCGAAAGGAGTGATTCCCAAAGCTGTTTAGATTGATTTTATAGCTAAATTTCAACATCATTTTCTGATCAGTCCACAAAAAAGAAGCTGTTTGTACTGAAATGAGAACACTAAAATTGAATTTCACAACAGGCTGTTTGGCACAAGAGATTTCTGCATGTGAAAGATCAGGTTCAAGAACAGAAAAAAATACTGAAATCCACAAGTTAACATTTCAGCTTTGCTCTAAGCAACAAGATTTTACAATGGTAATCTTGAATACCCTGTGGAAAGACAGAAAAAATGGAGGCAGAAGCTGTGTAGTAGCTTCAGTGCTCTTGATTTTGCAGCATAAACAATTGTGTAGATGAATGCAAATAAAATAAATTTGTTGGGTGAGGCAGAGGATTGCTAGAAGTTGTCTGCTAGGAACTCATTGTTCCTTTCTCTGAGAGGATGTCACATTATTTACCAATGTTTCCTATTCATCTGATTTTGTGCTGGAGAGGCATAGGTATCTCTGAAGATTTTCAACCAGTGGGTTTTTTGTCTTGCCACTTTTTCTTCTCACGATGGAATTAAAATAACATGACGTTTTTTAGTATCTAATTGCCTAGTGATGTGAAACCTAATACAACTTAACCTGGAAAAAGGGTTTTGATCCTATTTGCAGGTTGCAGTAGGTTGCAGCAGGTTGCAAAACGAAAGTTGCAACACATTACATGCATGTTGACACATGCAGCTTATTTGTTTCATGGGGGTAGTTAGGACTTTGAAATTGTGGGGGGGGGGGGCAATTTTTTTTATCAACATATCAAAATGACTGTAGTAAAAATAACATACAAGGGTAATGCATAAACATGTACCAACCAATGCAGTCATCAGAGAGAGGCAGCACATGCACATTTTTAAATTCAATACAATCTGGGAAATGTTTTGGATTGGGGACACTCTGGATTATTTGGGAGTTGAGGCTCCCCTTCCTGGCCCCCTCCTGCTAACCCCTTGATTTATTTCATCTGTTTTTGCAACAAGTTGCTTGAAGCTGCATATGGAAAGTTTAGTGGGTTTACCATGCTTTAGAGATTGGAGTCATGTCTGGCACAAACCTTCTACTCTTTCCACTTTAACTATAGAAGTGTGACAATTTTGTATGTTAATTACTGGAAAGTGTTTCTCTTGATAAAAGTGTTTGGCTTATTATATATTGTAGCCTCTAGCCTCTAAAGGTAGTTTTTTAGGACACAAAGAAGCTAGATGCTTATTATAAAGTGCCCTGGTCTTTCTTCTCATTGTGACCAGACCTGGTCTCTCTCAAAATGAAGGTGTGTTTATAGCAAAGACTCAAAATTCAGACATTAGGGCCATAACCAATAAGAAAATTTTCTTAAATTCGGCTTGCTTTATTCTATCACTATAACAGACTTATTTCCCATGTATTGTAATTAGAACATTGATCTACAGCTAGGTATAACCTGTTGCTTATTATGTATTGAATCTAATTATGAAAAGAAGGAACATGGCTGCTTCTTGACAAGAGTGACGATTTTGTAAAATTCTCTCTCTTATCTGGAATTGCTCAAATTTGTATATTTGTTCCAAACACTCACAATTTTCTTGCTCAGTGATATCACTTTTTGCATTAATTAGAGCCAAGATTATTGTGCCTACTACAATAATAATCAATTATTTAATGTTTGTGCTACAAAGCTAAATTCAAATTCAAATTCATTTAATATTCAGCAATCATTTTACAATATTCAAAGTCAATAAAGTGTCAATAAAGATAATTAACAATTTAACAATAATTAAAATTTTAACAATAATGTTGCCTAGGATGTTGGGAGGAACTGAAAGGGTTTTCAAGCCCAACCCCCTATGTACAGTTAGGATAATTTTTTTGCTACTACTAAAACTGACTTTCAGCTTTGTCTCTCTTTCTGTAGGTATAAATGAAATAACTAAAAATCAAATATGCTTACTCTTTATTTTGCAGGAACCATTCTGTCTCTCATTTGAACACCACACAGATTGGGTCAACAGTCTCATATTGTGTAGAAATGGAAAAACATGTGGGTTTTCTGCATACAGTCATAAATCTTCAAGTCTAATTTGCTCAAAAGGCTTTATTATAGTCTATTGAAAATTTTGAAACAAGGCTATTTAGATTAGCCTAAAATACATTTCAGAATATTTCTAACAATCATTTTCTTGCAAGTGTTTTTAGATTTTTTAGGCTTTCTTTACTACATTCTCATAATTCAATCCTTGAAATGGAATTCATTGCTTTAAAGGGTCTCCTAAATCTTGATTTAGTAATGATAGACATATATATACCTGATAATGCTTCTATCTACTTTTTTGGTTAGAATTTGATCATCTAATTCAAAAAGTAAATTATTGCATTAAATATCTTTTTCAGTGCTATCAGCATCTTCAGATACAACTGTAAAAGTATGGGATGCTTTTGGAGGGTATTGCATGTCGACTTTGCGCACCCACAAAGACTATGTCAAAGCGCTAGCTTATGCACAGGATAAGGAAATGGTAGCTTCGGGTGGATTTGACAAGCAGATATTTCTATGGGATGTTAATGTTCTCACTGCTCTTACTGCTACCAATAATACTGTTATAAGTAAGTTTATAGCTATATCATGAATCTGTTATTGTCAAGATGCATTTTGCCACTAATTGATAAAAACATATTGATAACAGATTTGCTTTGACTAAGGGTATAATATGAAGGTTAGAGTGGCTTTTAATGGGTTTATTCCATCACAGTCAAAGATTTTTTACACATTCTAATCAAGCAGTTAAAGGATTTTAGCAGGGGCATGGTCAAAGGGGGGTAGGAGAAGTGCATCACCCCCTCCCCAACACTTGTCTGTCGGCACATAGGATTTTTGCTGGGCAAAATAAAAGATTTTTTTTCTCACCCTGTAATATAACTGTAACCTATTGAAATTTTTGTAGCAGTTAAACTTTTAAAGTCTGGCACTAAAATATGAATTTTGAAATTGAAATGCAAAAAGCGGCATATAATATTATTTATCTTATGACTGCACCCTTCTTGTTGTCTCAAACAGTCATTTGGGTACTGCCTTTTGTCCCTGGATTCAAGTCACCCACTGCAAACATGCATTATTTAAACACATCTATTACTGCATTTGATGTTGATTTGCAAAAATTTCCCACTTTCTCATTCATACTAATATATCAAAAAGGTTTATGGCTTCATGTTGGCTAACAACTAGTGAATACCAACATTTCAGATTTTCTACAAAAGTTTTATTTTCATACTGAATTTCAAATTGGTCTGTTAAGTATTAAGTCTTGACAATTTTGATACTGATTTGGGTTCACCAACTGGGGTTAGGGTATCAATTGTCCATTAAATGCAAATGGAACCACCAATGAGATATAGCTACAAGTTTTGTTGGTATTTTTGTTTATTGCGCCATTGCAATGTTGCAACAAATGCTAGGCCTGTCAACATCTTGACAGCTGTTTATACATCTTCAGCTTTTTAGGAAATTAAGCTTTGTTTGCTTTCAATACAAGTTTAAACCCCGTCTGTTGGTTGCAGCTTCATCTCTTGGAGGTCAGAAAGATTCTATTTACAGTCTGGCACTCAACTCTGCTGGAACAGTGCTTGTTTCGGGCTCTACAGAGAAGGTAATATTACTCAAATTATTAGGAAATAGGGCTGAATTTCCAGAGATAGACACAAATTTGTCATTAATCTTTTCTCCCTACAATATATTTTGTTGCTTAAATTTGTGCAAAATTTGCTACTGGTTGGTTTCAAAGGGAATTTGCCACATGCCTCTTCAATATCCTTCATACTGTTCATACTGTTGTTGGTATTCCTTCCATTTTAAAGTATTTTAAATGTGATACTAGTTTTCTGAGGTAATTCTTCATCTGATTTCCCATTAAAGATATAAAGCAAAAATTTTAAAAATTGGTTTAAAAGGAAGTAACGAAAATTCAGACTTTCATTTTGGAGGGGGGAGGGGGCTGTGGTGGTCTCAGGCCGACGATTTTCGGACAAGATAACATCTTTGATTGGCATTTGACACGTTAAACTTTTGTCAATCACCCAACAAAAGCCCAATTTTTTCGACGAGAACGCTAACTTCGAGGCTCGAGCCCCCACATTGACCCCCATAATTTCCGCCACAGGAAACAGGAACACTTTCAGACGACCCTTACTGGGCCTACAACGATAGGTGTGCCCCCACTTTTTTGCAGAACAATAGAGCTTTTTTCAAAATTTTTTGTTATGGGTGTTAAACTTTTCTTTGCCCCCCCCCACTTTCCAACCTGTGTCGGAGCCCATGCCATACTTCTGAAATTTTGCATCTGCTTTTGAAATTCACATATCGTCCACGTGCAATATATAGTATTTGAATCTCAATTCCAGCGCCGGGATTCAGTAAAAATCAAATTTCCTGTGCACTAGAGCGAAATTAGATTCCTCACAGATTGAAGGTCCATATTGGTCGTAATAGTGTTAAATATAAAGAGAATGGATAATGTTGAATACGGCTTTTATAGTTCTTTGTTGTCATTGGTACCTTTCATTTTGTCACCGAAAATTTTTTGTCATTGAATCAAGAGATTATTGACAATATTTAAGATCACAAGGGTTTCCGTTAGGGACAAATAACTTGATGAAAATCTCGCACACCTTTGGATATCTGATCGATCTTATCGTTTTTATTAGAAAATAGCACATTTGATCATGTGCCAGCACGATTTTTTAGCTAAAATTACGCGGCACAGTTAAAATATCCTTATTATTTTATTCAGGCAAGTTGAATTTTACTGAGAGTAATGTCAAAATAGCACTTGGATATATCAGCAGGGGTGTAGTGCTAGGGGGGCTTAGAGGTGCTGAGCCTCCTTGTTAATGCCGAAAAGTAGCCAATTCCTACTTTTGCTATTGCTTTTTCGCAGCGTTTTGTGCAAGAGCCCCCCCCCCATTTTGTTATTTTGATAGCACTACACCCCCGGATGTGTGCCGAAGGAAATTTTTAGAAACATTAAATTTTGTACATATGTTCTATAAGGTACGATAGTTTGGTCTGCCTTAAGGTAGTTTCTCTCAACTTGTCCCTTCCACGTGTAATCCTTTGCTATCCTTAAATTTCAATGTGAGTCGAAATACTTAGATTCTTCGCTCTTCAATAACAGATTTTAAGAGTCTGGGATCCAAGATCGTGTTCTAAGGAGATGAAATTGAAGGGACACGCAGACAATGTCAAAGCCGTACTTCTGAATAGCGATGGGACTGAGGTTTGTATTTGTTGCTCCAAGGTGTCAAATGGTATCACAGAAAGGGCAAAATTGAGAAACTCTGTTCAAGCTGCGAAACAAACAGAATGAGTCTTCACTGAAGAAACAGAAATCAACTATGCCATAAAGGAATTATAAACTGGATAGCCAGACTACAGATATTGAAAAGAAAAAAAGTTATTCGCGAGTTTCAAGTTGTACCAGGTGTTCACTCGTGTGATCTTGAATTTGACACCCCTGATGTAGTTCATAAGTTTATTCAGCTTGATACAAGAAGTTTTTTTGCGCTGATAAAATGCTGTTGCTTACATATTGCTTTTCTGTGATATCACTGTATATCACTAGTTTGTGATTACAGTTGAACCCGACAAGTGGGACATTGAGGGAGTGGGGGAATGGGGGTAAGGAAATAATCTGACTTAATGCGATTCCTACTTTTCGGAAATAGGACTTAACGGAATCCAAAACTATCTGTTATCAAATCCTTTGGCGACCAAGTCATCCTTTTTTACAGATAAGTAGAGCCCGAAATATCAACTTGAGAGAATGCCAGCGATCATGAAATGAGATTAAATAATTACCATCCGAATCTATGGATTGAAATTTCTTCTAATCCTTCGTAAGATTTCACCGCCAAATTGCTGGGTTTTGAGTTGAAACGAAAACCATATTATTGCCACTGAAACAGCAATATTTTTAGTGTCTTTCAGGAAGCTCTGACGGCACCATCAAGTTATGGTCTCTGGGCCAGCAACGATGTGTAGCTACGTACAAGATTCATGATGAAGGAGTCTGGACCCTTGCATCTGATGAGCATTTATCATTCTTCTATTCAAGTGGCAAAGACAGAAAGGTTTTCTTCACAGATTTGACTACAGAATATGAAAAAACGTATTTTTTGTTTCAAGAAAAGGCGCCTGTTTTATCTGTAAGTTACGCTTCTTAATTCTTTGTCCTTTTATTTCCTCACCTTCTTTCATTTTATCAGGTCAATCCTGCTGCTCCCAAAGATTATTCGTGTCCCTCATGTCCCTCATTGTCCCCTTGGCCCTCATGTTCCCCATACCCCCCTGGCCCCCATGGTCCTCTTAAAACTAACTAGAAGTACGAGCATCGAGTAATCAGATAAACTCGAGGAACGGACCGCGAATAAGGATGAGGGTTTTGCTCAAAAATGACTTGGACACGAAGAAGTCATCTATGAATATCATGTCTGGTTCTACCATGAAGAGAGCCAAAGCATCAAGGTTCGAAGACTGCTTCAAGCCTGAGCTTATGACCTATTCAGTAGCTATGACCTAACTTCAATGCCTTTTTAATTCACCCATTTGCTTAGTGATGGAAATTATCAAGGCTTGGCGGGGTGTCCGAATTTTATATAGTTTGGAAAATCTATCACGTAGAAGATAAACGGTTGCTAAGCCAGGTCCCTCCCATTCCACTGATGGTAAATGCTGGACAAAAACTTTAAAACCGGTTCATGGCATCCGGATCATCAGGAACACAGCCGTGGAGTTATCGCTGTTTCCGGTAAATATTGTATAATTAAAATCAAATCAAGACGTTTGGTTGGGAAATGAAACTACATCAGTAATAAGTTTGTCCAAGAATCACTACACCAGTAATCACAGTTTCTCGTTAAAGGCACGCAAAAATTTTGCAGATTAAACGCAAACGCTATGTGTCTATAAAAAGTAAAATTTTCTTTGATATCATTTTTTACTCTGTCATTTCAGATTCAACCTGCATATGACCCAAAGTGTCTGTGGGTATCAACTACCGAATCAGATCTAAACTGTTGGGTGAGTTTCAACTAACCAGGTTCTCATGAATCCATTTGTTAAAATTCAGCAACGCTTTTCCTCGCAGTGCACTCCACAGTAAGACATATTTGCCCAACTTTAGGTATGCACTAGGCTCAAAGACCAGACGGAGAATGGGGGTAAGGTCCCCTTTTGGGAAAGTTACTTCACTTTGGTGGGATCGGGTAAATTCGGAGTGCTTTTTCTGAAAAATTATGTTATACGGGATAATATTTTGATTGAAAACGAGACTTCAACATGAAATACAGGCTGAAGGTCTCCAACCTGCCCGTATAACATCGATTTTCAAAATCAGCGCCCCTTAATTACCCAAACCCATCCAGTTGGTACCCGAAGAGGACTCTACCCCCATTTCCGCCTGGTCTACACATCACAGAAACAAAAACACCCTCAAATTTTTGTTCCTCAGGGGGAGGGGGGAGGGGGGGTTGTCATCATATTTAACTCGAAAAGATATCCTTGAATAGATTCTGATTATATGTTGAATATGTGCAATATGTGGTTGCGGTTATTCGAATTGCTGGATGGCCAGAAACCTTCTATTAGAAGAGGGCGTTCTCGGTATTACTTAATTTATTTGCTGTTCATTAACCACCATCGAAGTCTTCAATTTCCAGTAACTTGGCCTTAGCTCAGCAACTAGCGTTGAATGCGTCTAAGCGTCAGTTAACTTTCAAGATAGCCAATATGATGTATTTACCCCCTAAATCAGGTAAATCCCAGTACCGAAAATCGTCCAAGTACTCAATTTTCAAGGGGTACTTGCAGAAAACTCCATGAATGGTTTGTCTTCAGGGCTCGGTTTGATTAATATTTTACTTAGAGGAATCACGTAAAGCTTGTGAGAATTTCGTCTCGGCGACCATATGGTATTCTTTAATAATAATTTGAACGGTGAGAGCAAAGATAGAACTATTGGTTCAGTTTGCGAATCAAAGCCAGAGTCGCAGTTCGACCTGCGTCAGCTGCAGCCGCAAGGCAATGATTTTCTATTAGACAGGGATATTCTGGATAATAAGTTATTATGCATTGACGTAGTGACTGGGTTAGGCCTCGAAGCAATGATTTTTTAATGAAGAGCAGCGAAATATTCGACAGTAGATGCTCCGAACCAACTCCAACCTGGCCTAAAAACGTCAAACAGCTTGTGGATTTTCCAGTGCCTTAACCCGGTTTTGCGTCATTAGTATTACTTAAAAAATGGGCCGGTTTTTACCTTTCTAAGCAAATGGCAGGCCATGGATATTTTAATTCAGTTTTCTGTTTAAAAATGCATAGGTTATTTACGTTCATGTAAAGATCCTTTTAGGAAATCATCGTTGATCCGTATGAGCGTCACTTAAGGACTGGGTGTTTCCTTAAGTGCTCTGCGATACCCAACATGGGCTTGGCAAAATCGTCCGTCTCAACCAGTAGTTCATAGAATCTTTCGTATTTCGCTACATGGCAATTATTTTGAGATGGTCTCAATAATACCAAGGAAGGGGGCAAGCGTGAGCTGTATCCACCAGCAAGTTTTTTCTGATGGCATTTTCACACTATAATTTTTTTTTCGGCATTAAGGAATTAGTGGCTTACTGACATCTGAATTCGGGAAATTCGGGGATATTTTTTTCTTGAAATTTCAGTATGTTTTTCGTTGACGCTATTATTAAAGAAGATCATTTTAAAATCGAACTATTTCATTCATGGTCTTATTGATGATATGTTCACTTTCGTTCTGAAAAATTCATTCATTCAGATATTTTAGCTTTTTCTTTTCACGATTCAAATAATTACTCCGTTTAAATAATATATTAACCTCGTTTAATATCATAAGCCTTAATATTGAATTCCCCTACTTAAAAATTCCTTAGATTTAATTTTATGGACAGGATAACAAGCCAATTGTAAGAAGCTTCTCTCCTTTATGTAGGAGTACCCGTTGTCTAAAGTTTGTTTGTAAAAATCAGTCAGTTTAGATTATGGTTTCGTTGTTGATTTGACCCCTGTCGTACCCTTCAACCAACATTCACCCATTTCTACTTGTTGCATGTCGGGTTTTTCTTCTTTTTCCGCTCTTTGTTCCGTTGTTTGCAAAAAGCAGCTTCAAGAATACTAGTTCACGTCACATGTGGTGTATGTTTACGTAAATAGCTCTTTAAACCCAAGCATTTTTGCCTAATGATCAACATTTGACGCCTCTGTGCCTAACAATCAACGTCAACATCGAATTTCGTTAAGGCTGAAATTCTAATTTATCCATTCCCTGGGCTGTATTCGATAGCCAAAACAGCTAGACGTATTTCGGCGAAATGAGCAAAATAGCAAGACACTTGAAAATCAACATTATATTTATAATTTGACTGGCATTTATTTCTTTCGCTTTCATTCAAAGATGTTTTTACCGTGTAGTAGAGGAAGCTGAATGATTTTGTTTCTAAATGCCGGTCCCTAGATCAAATTTCCGTTATGATTAAATTTCCAGAGTTTTGCCACTTAAAGGGGCCTGTGCAACCAGCAGGCTTTTCGCGCTGGCATTTGTTTTGTTTTTCTAACTGTGTTCTTCTATGCAAGACAAAAATGGCGAGGAGAATTCGATGGGAAATTTCTGGAATCAATTTAGCGCTTCAGATCGTTTTTGACAGCTTCTATTTGGTTTCGTTTTGCGCGCAGCTTGTGCTAACAGCTATTCACCATTTTCATGGACCACGAAAATGGCCGCCTTCCCAGCTTACGCCCGCAAAGGCTACTGATTGTCCACGCCCCTTTAAAGTAGATTAATCAAGAGTATTAGACTTTCTTCGTTTTAATTGTTTTTTTTCTTTTGGTAAAGGTTTTAACTTTTTGGCTATCATATTTTCATTTAACATTGATCATAACGAATAAATTTTAAGCATTGAAGAAGTTAATATTACAACCTTTCTAATTAATACCTTGAAGGTTTTTCAAAGTTGAAACGACACGTGCTACCTGATGCCTCCGGTTCTAACATTCCTGCTGCAGGTTTTTTGTTGTCATATGGCTGAGGCTCCTAGGGTATTGAAAATGGAGCAGTCTCCTATCCGGTCATTAAAAACGCCTGGTATCCTCTGCTAAGGCCTGCCACTGTTGTCCAGGGCACTCGTTGCGAGCCAAAAGTATTCAGAATCTAGGGATATTTCTCTTGATAAAGGATGGCGGTACAAAAAAACAAAGGCAACTTTTACGGCTAGGATACAGCAACTCGAGGGGCAAATCACTCTAAGAAAATCTCGATACCTTTTGTGAAAATCCTGTTGTTTTATCCGAATATCCCTAGAAATCCTTTTATTTTAGGCAAAATATCGTACGCTATTTGCAAGAGTGAATCGCCCCTCGAAGCAACTCTCAGGGAGTGGTTTATAGAAATTGGCCGAAATCACATTAAAAACCTACCTTACTGATGTAAATTATGAGTCAAAAACATTATTAAAGTTTGCAGGACAAATTTGGAGTAATCATTTTGTTGTAAAGTGTCTGATTCTAATTCCATCTAAATTCACGAGAGAACCGTCATATCTTCGCCACGATTGAATGAAGCATCATTTCCTTAACCTAGACCAAATTAACATGCACTTTTCGTTTTGATAATGGAAATTGTGCAGCAATATAGCAATTGTCAATTCAATGTTCGGTAAATACGCTCAGAAAATACAATTTATCGAGCTTGTCGGTGCACCGGATAATCATCCGCCATTATCCCGATGTTCAAGTCAGGCCAAAAACGTGCAAGTCAGGCCAAAACGCACAATGCCACCTGTATTTGGTTTGTTTACGAAACCGTGACACAACCCCTTTAAAAACGGAAAGGACCTGAGCAATATGGCAATTTGCTACTCCTAATAGTTAAAGTGCCTGTGACATGATTTTCGTACTTTTGGGTTTATATATCTATTCTTATGTAAAAAGACCTGTTATTTTTATTTCCGAGGTTAGGTTTTACGTTTCGTGAGAAATGAAGGAGTTATTGGCGATCTTCTACGCCAAAATTCGCCATCTTGGTTTTCAGAATGAGTAGACAGTGACGTCACAGGAGGGACCTGATCGCCTCCTCCTTCCAGTTTTTGTATCGTAGTCAATGAGGGAAATCTAACAGGTCCAAGATGAGCGATATTTCCAGAGAAAGTAGTAGCAGCGAGGATGTGTTTTTTTAAGGTAGCGCTTACATTGTTACAATAGACAGTTCCTCCCATGACGTCACAAGAGAACGGCGAATGATGATAAAGCGACTTGGCTAGGCCGCACTATTTTTCTTAATTTCAATATCAAAACGCTTTTATTTCAAAAAGAGTTCAGATCTACTATAAGAGCAGTGCAACGCTTCAATTAAGAGAATAAAAAAATAATGTCACAGGCACTTTAATGTAATCACATTCTTCCTGTATTGCCTGGCTATATCGCGTATTTAACCCATGGGTCTTAATTGTTTTTCGATTACTGCGATTTGTATGATACTGTAATCGATAATATATAATCGATAATACAGTTTAGAGAGTCCTACGAACTTTTAATAAGATTATTGTTTTTTAGCCTATTGAGATACCAGCAGATTCTCCTGAAAACGAAGAACTGGAGGACAACACACCACTCATTGATACACCGTTGAAAAAAATTCCAGGTTTATTGGCTTTTATTCTTTATATATTAAATGAGAAATTAATACAACATAAGTATAAAACTACTTACATAACAATGAAATTGATTGTTAATACAATACAATACGATACAATACAATATGATACAATTCAATACGATACAATACAATACAATACAATACGATACGATGCAATATAATAGATTGCAATACATTACACTACATTGTAATAGATCATATTACAACACAATACATTACAAAACATCACAATACAATACAATACAATACAATACAATACAATACAATACAATACAATACAATACAATACAATACAATACAATACAATACAATGTAAAAATACAGATACAGGACAAAATTAATTGTGTGAAAGGAATTGAAGGAGGAGATCGCTCAGTAGGTAGACTAATCTCAATAGGAGTGACCCCCACCCCCAACTTTTCTAGGATTATAATTGAGCGATATTGATGGATTTGAATACTTCAAAATGATTTTTAGGATTATTATTGCTATTTTTAGCGTTCTTTTGTGTTATGCCACTAATCCAACACTGTTATTTACTGTTAATGTCCTTAAGATATATTGGACAGAAAAGAACCTCGAGTACCGTATCTCATTTGGAGATCTTGTCTTGAATTGACCCAGCTCTCTTTGCTAGGTCATTGCGTAAGATCACTCTATTAGAATTATGAATGTTATATGAAGCATTCTGGTAAGTGCTACAACAGAGACCACCAGCTAAGCATGTTACCATAATCTATTCTATTAATATTTCAACGCTTAAAGATAAGACCCACTTGTGCTAAATCGACTTGCTTCTTTGGTTTTCCGTATTATCCGCATGACGCAAGCAAGCAAATATTAAAAGTCTTCTGGTCCTGCTAGTCGACCAACAAATTGTTCGTAATAAGTGTATTCATTCAACGCGTATTCCATAAAAGAATATGCCAAATTAGCAAACGTTTCTTGTAGTTGCACATTGTCATTTATTGCACAAATGAAATTTTAGTTCTGTTTATGATGTAAATATGCTTTGCAAGTCAGACCCATTTGCTCATGCATGCGGGATGGCTTGGGGCCGATTTAGACGCATTCAGCTGTATCATATACATACATATTTAGCTTTTACTTTTTGAACTTATCTTGCAATGTTGCAAATGTTTACTCTATCTTACAATGTTGTTGGCAAAAGAGCATAGCTTTTGCTATTCGACTATTGATAACAAATACGACTTTATTGTGTTTCGTATTTGTTTCGACTCCCTTTTCCAAACCGCTGATTCTAATCCGAGGACATTTTCAGGGCACTTTTCTAAGTAAGAAATTATCCAACTGACCTAGCTATAAACTTTGTCACCCTTCAATCTTCAAGAGAAATTTTTATCTTGGTATTGAATAAGTATAAGACATTACTTTATCGATCAATTTATTTCTTTCCTGCTATTCGTGTCCAGTTACCTTTCCCGGCCTTGGTTTTTTCTTTTTTTCGCATGTTCCTTGATAGGGCCTTTCATATGTGAACCAACTCACTCAGTGATTATCAACTTCTCTTCATTGTAAGCTCTATATTGTGCTGTTGGCCTAAGCCCTGCTCGGCGTTTCTTGATTCTACCTAGGTATTCTCAATTCTAAATCCTTAATTAAATTCTCAATAGGTATTTTCAAATCTTCATTCCTTCACGACGGCTCCTTCTTCTCGATTTCTCGGAACTTTCTTCTCGAGATTCTACTCTATTCTACACGATTCCATTTGATACTAATCGATTCATTTTCATTCCTTTGCGTTCTTTGTTTCTTTCCATTCCAAAACTTTATTTTTAAACCATCTTTACTACAATGGATTCATGTCACTTTCTTTAGATTTGTTAGTTGCATTTAATGGACCAATTGCATAACGGTATCAGCACCTCAATTTTTTGGCTGTTAAATCTTGCCCACTGTTAAAAGCACTGTGTCCCGTCAGCCAACCGTTCAGAGTTAACAATAGGCTTTCCGATTAATAGGCTTTGATGATTAGCCGATTGGCTCCGTAACAATAGGTCTATTGTATAATCTAACCAATGGGAATTTAACTGATCAGCGAAATGCGTCGTGACATGGTGCCTTTAAAAGTTATCATGAGCTAAGATTTGCATGATATATCTTATGTAATGTCACGTTGTGTCCAATAGGTAGTTCTGGTATAAAGCGAATTCATATACTGAACAACAAGAGGCACGTGCTGACAAAGGATTCATGTGGCGACGTTAGCCTTTGGGACATATTAAAGGTTTGTTTGTGAATGTATCAGGCTTTTTTGCACACTAACTAAATGGGCAATCGCTCCTGCAACCCTAGTGACACCTATTGTTTAGAACAATAGACTATTGTCCTCCCCTGTATATAAAATTGCTGGGCTTGACCTTCAGCTAATTTCCTTCACTTAGAAAAGGCTATAACGTACCGTGCAATAAATTTAAGTAAACCAGGAAAAATACATTATCAACTGGTAAAGGCAACTTTCTGTTTTCTTCAGTATTGAAATTAATGTTATATGCTAGTATTACCTTAATGGTCAACTTTTCAATGCAGGGCATTTTGAGAACCAGTTTAACAACTGAGCGGCATACAGCATCGTTTCATTTCGTTTTTAGGCCAAAAGGATAGAGTCACTTGGACATGCCAACTTTGAGGAAGAAATAGAGAAAAGGAAAGAACCTATTTATGTTCCCAACTGGTTCTCTGTAGATGCAAAGACCGGGGTATCAAGTTTATTACATTTTGTTTCATTATTTACTTTTTTGTAAATTGGCATGCTTGGTCAAGAGTTGCTTCTTAATCGTGATAGTTAATATAGAATAAATGGTAGCTCGAAATGTAATTGTTCTGATCCCTTAGTTCGTATGAACACCCAAGCTATACAAATTTTCTCAATATTTGACGATCACATGCCCTATTTTAAGGCGAGAGAGTCTAAAGCCTTTGAAAGCAGGGTTCCGTTTTACCAACAAACTCATGAACGAAAATTTCAACGTAATGCTCGTTATGAATTCAAGTTCGTTATTGATGTATCAGAACTCCTCTTAGCTCTTCGTTGTTCTTCTCGTTATTTTCAAACTCGGTACATTTTTCCTGAATTACCTAAGGTAATCTGTTGAATCTCCAGGTTAGCCTTGAAAAATTGTTTTGGCTTGATACATTTTGACAGCTTTTCTTGGCGCGCTCTATGCAAAGCAAAGTCTTATTCCCTTGGAACTTGACATCACGTAAACTTTTCCAGAAGCGAAGAACTTCCTTTTAAAAAATTTGAACAGTTTTTTTGCGGTACAGAATTTGAAAATGGCTTTGAAAAAAGCAAACATTTTACAACATACTTAAAGCTTTTTCGTCTGACACTCCTCAGAGCATAAAACGTCAGAATAGGTTCCGAAAAACATGTTTGAAAAAATATATACCCAGTTGTGGATCGAAATAGGCCAATCAGAAAAACGCAAGCACAAGACCGGTATAGTTGACCAATCAGTGCCGCGAGCCTAAAGAAAAATTACCAATGGAGTCCAAGAGAGAAAACGAACTCCTTTTGTCTACACAATGGCGGCTTTTTCGTTTTTATGTAGATTGACTCCAAAACTGCTAGATGGAAGGACGACCGGGCTCTGCCAATTATCCGAAACATGTCGTCATTATAGAGTTTTGCACAATCTGGGTTGTCCAAAAGATGTTGACCAATGGCAGAATCACTTGTTTTAACAGTGTTTCTCGACCTACAAGATCGAGGAGGCTGTTCTCTTTGAGGGGCAGTTTTGTTTCGTATGTTGGAAGGAACATGCTGTTTTATCCTATCCCCCAATCTTTGGGTTGTGCGCCCTACGTAGCCAGAATCACACTGGCACGTAAATTCATAAATGACGGAACTTTTTTGGTTGGTAGGGACGCAATCCTTTTGAATGGATGGAAGGGCTCTCCTAGTGCTGTAAACAATCCGAAATTAAGGTAACTTAATTTTAAAAAATTAAGGTAACAAGGCTGTTTCCTGTTTCCTTAAGGTTTCTTGTAGATGCTCAATTTGACTATGGATAAAAGCGACCCTCTTTTTGTAGATGCTGAATGTGACTTTGGATGAAAGCGACTGTTTCTCTTCATGGATGGTTCTTGATGATGTGCCAGACTTGAGGCTCCAAGATCGGAGTCGAGGTTTGTATGACGTCATATGTCAACTTCATTTTACCTAATCGATGTACTCTTTTGTTATATATTAAACGTAAGAATAAAATAAAGGTCGCTTAAAGCTATTATAATGACTCAAGGTCAAAAATATTGTTTAAGATATTATATCTGGCATAATCATCATACTTTGTACTGCTACCGCATTTCAATCGTTGAAATGTTTACTTTGGATTGATTCAGAAGTTCAATACAGGTTTACTTAAATTATGTTCTAGATTCTAAACCGGCCAGCCCCCGTAATGATCTTTTCTATAAAACGAAATTATTGAACAGAAAACATAAGTCAGTATTTACTTGTGACGTCTTTGTAAGGGCTGTCTATCTAGTTACTGACCAACTATAATCAGGATTAAGATATCGAAAAAAAACAACAAGGCCAGAAGCTCCCGCAACTCAACACTCCCAAGCCAGACCCATGGAGGGTACGAGAAATAAGCCACCAGAAAACCATAGTTCAACTTAGCATGTCTTGCCTTTAAAACCCTGAAGCGTGATCTCCTGCTTAGGTAAAACCTGCAAACCAAATATTTTCGCCAACTTCGAGCGTAGTAACTGTGATTATGAGAAATAATCACATTTTTTAGCGGAATTTTGGTTTTCATTTAGTCAAAAAATACTAAGCAACACTATGTTGAGATTACTGGTTTTAATCATAACTGTTTTGCGGTAGTTGACTAACAGCGATGATTTCTAATCAGCAAAGTCTGGTTCTCCAGAGAAGCCTTTTTTAATCTAAAGACATTGAAAATTATTGCCCGTATGATAAACAGCTGGCCTTTTGAAAATGTGCATGGTTTCCAGTCATTAGATAAAAATAAAACCTTGGCTATGATGACTTATTTCTAAACATAATATCATTTTATTGTAGGAGATTCTGGTGACCTTAGATTTGGTTAGTTGCTTTATTTGTCATATTTCTGTTGTGAGTTTCCTTGCGTTATGTCGTGAAAAGCCTTTAACTACCCATTAATTCGTGAATAAAATTTTGAATGATATTTTGAAAAATGGCCTCAATTTGGTTTTTGTTATTTTTTACGCACTGCAAATTATTATTTTTGAGGTTGGAGATAGTGTTGTAAATCTTCAAACAGGGCTCTGATGAACAATAGCTGATATTACATTTTTTGTTTGTGTGAGCGTGAAAGTTAAATGTTGCAGTGCGTGAATTCGTGAAAAGTCAAAAAATTGTGCGTCAATGCGTGAATCACAACCAATATGGGGAGGGGGGAGGGGGGGCTCCAGTCATGAGCATTATGTGGGCCTATCAAAATCATAATTATCAATCAACTTCAATTGGCAATTGACCTTGATTAGGCAGCCTTGACGTGCTTGCGTTTTTATTGGTCTATTTAAATCCACAACTGGGTGTATATATTTCCAAGCGTAGAGTTTTCGATCCATGTTCTGACGCATTATGCTCTGAAATCTTTAGTGTCAGACGAAAATTTTTAGTACTGTGTTTCAAAATGTCTACTTTTTTCAAGTTTATTTTTAAGTTCTGTATAGCAAAAAGATTGGTTTAGATCATCTTCAATTATCACTTATAATTATCATAATCGGATGTTCTCCTTCCTGTCTTGCTGGGAGCTTCAAAATAATGAGATTTTTTGTGACATCTTTAATTTTCTACAATTATGAATCAGCTCCCTTTTTGCGGTCATGTTTTTACGGGTGTGTGAAATGCGTTTTCGACCTTCCATTTCTAAAAACTTTGTTGCTGCCAAAACCTGGAGGAGCGCATGTCCTATTTGATGAGCAGGTTCCAGGACTGTTCCCTATTTGTGGAATGTTTTTCAGTCACAAAAGGCCCAAGCGCGTCCGTAACTGGAGACTGTAGAATAGATTGCTCTCACTTCTTTCAAATCGATGGCAATCTCTTTCCTACAAAAATGCAAACATGAATTGACCCCCTAGAAGCTATTTCATTGTGATTTCTTCTGTTGCTTTGCTTGACTTTGGTGTCATGTTCTGTAAAAGGGAATCGTTTGTTAAAGAGAAGTTTAGGATAGTGGATACAATGGTAGCAGTTGAATATTGACAGTAAAATGTCTGAATTAACAGTATTCGCAATTTTTGTGTGCCCTTCTGTACGCTGTTTATTCCTGAAGCTTATCTGGCCAAATCTTGTCTTTAATTTCTTATCATATCTTTAGGTAGTCAATTATGGCCTACTGATTTCTTATTATATCTTTACATAGTCAATTATGGCCTACTGCTCCTTCAAGCATTGTTGGAACATTGGCCAGAAACTCAACCGGCCACTGCTGAAATGGACGCTATAGCAGACAGAAGTAGTCAAGAATCCCCCGGTAAATCAGTTACTTCCTCATCTTGACTGAGTAAGCCTCGAATTTATCCATGAACAATGCCATGGCAACTCAGTTACCTCATTTATATATGATTAGGGGCTAGAACTGTGTAACTTAGTAACCGAACTGTGTCGCATGTGTAAAGCCAGAAATTTCATGTTAACCCACCTGCCTCGTTTCAAAATGATAGAAATATCTCATTATAGAAACTGCCTTGTCGCTGTTAAGTTCGGGAAACCCCTAAAATGCAAATTGTCTGTTTACATTTATAACGTAGTTGAACCAAATTAACACGGGGAGTGGATGAATTTTGCTTCTCCTATTGTTGGCACTTTCTCTATCCTGGATTTCTTCTTCTTGGAAATTTCACGCCTTTTTTAAACTTTTTGCTACTTTTGCTAGTTTTTATTTCTTAATGTTGTCTTATCATTACCATATCTTTCGTAGTCACTGGCTCTGACATCCGGGTTCAAGTAGAAAATGTGAGTTTTTTGTTAGTCTTGTTAATTTTTGCTACCATAATCAATAATTGTGGTTACATAATAATGTGTTTCCTGTAGAGTGAAAATTTCCTGACGGAAACAACTAGTAAGGATGGAGAATAGACGGAATAACTGCATCATAAAGGCTGGTTTTTATATAACGTATTTCGACATATTTCATCGCAATTCAGAGTCTACGGTCAATTAAAATATTTTCCGTTATATGAAAACCGACCAAATTTTATGAAAACCATCTATCGTAAATAATCCTAATAGAACGTTATTCAACTTTTTCATTTTCGATTTTCATATTCTGTGAAAATGAGCCTTAACTCCAACTTCATACTGGGTTTGGCAAGCAGTAGCAGGGATGATGATAGATACAGCAATGTTGTCATCCACTGGTCGTTTTTCTACATCACCGATGCATGGTGTAGAATCCTATAATGATTTTTTTAGGGCCTAAAGAAAAGAGGTTATTCCGTATTACAGAGGATAAAATCAGCAAATTTTTCACCCATCAGCTTGGATTTGCTTATTTTTATATAACTGTTGGTAACTTTGGGGTAAGAAGGAATTGAAATTGCAGAGGAATATCTCAATTACTTCCAAAAATAGAAACATCTGAAATTTCCCGTTCTCATCAAAGTTTTCCAAAATTCGCCATTTCGAATTTTAAGCATTTTTGGGTAAGCTAAACTGGGTTCAAAGAGAAACTTTTATAAAGAACAGAATTTGAGGTTTCTTTTCAGAAAGAATAGCCTTGGCTTGGCATCATTACCTTTTTGAATTTAAAAATTTTGATCATTTTATCTTAATGAACATTCATATGAGAGAAAAGTAAAATTTACTATATCCAAAATTGGCTGGTGAATAGGTCCACGCTCATAAGTCATTGTAATTTAGACTAAGTGCGAGGATGGCTCAGTTGTTAAAGGCGCTGACTACAGGCCCGAGGGTCCGTGGTTCGAGTCCCTGGCATGACCAAACTTTCACCCAGAGTGAGGAGAGTCGCCAGTTCTCTGTAATTCCAGGCATAGGAATCACGAGGTGTGGTCAAACCGAGAGGAAGGACCAGGACACTGCTGGATAAGCATAAGCTTCTCAGTGTCCTAAAAACTACCTTCGGATGCTAGGTAGAAACAAATACAAATACTTCGTTGCAGAATCAATGAACCAGACCAAAACAATAGTTATCCATTACTAAAATTCTGAACTTTTATTTGCCATATCTGAGTTTACTGATGTAGAGATTTGGTTTAAAACCTACCTAGCCTTTTGTTGACTTCAACTATATCACAATGAAAATAAAAATTTATTACATTCAAGTACGGTAAGCTCTATCAATGCAAAAGTTTCCTTGTATATACGGTGCAGTACTTCAGATTTCTGACGTATGTTAAACATTCACCGTTTTATTTCCCCAGAAGCCATCGCCATCAAATGGTTTTTTCTCCGTTTCTCCTCACACTCCTCTGGTATTTGCGGAAGGAGGTGGCTGCGGAAGGACATCTTTCCGGTTGTTGGTTGGCGATGCTGCAGGTGAAAATGAATGCACTATACTGCATGAGACTGTTCCTCACTGGGTCTTCGAAGCTACTGTCAAGGTTTGAGCGTGCTCTTATTTTCAACTAAGCCTTGCTTTCTTCATTCTAATAGATCGTATTCTAATGACTCGGAAGTACACATTTATACAAAACAAGATACCGGACTGTGTGCTAGTCCTACTTTCTGGCATCAAACCAAATACCTAGTCAAACTGTAGATAGCTGGTAAAAGACAATGTTTATTAATACCTACATTAACTCTCCCGGTCTCTCTCCCGGTCTCTCTCTCTCTCTCTCTCTCTCTCTCTCTCTCTCTCTCTCCCGGTCTCTCTCTCTCTCTCTCTCTCTCTCTCTCTCTTTGTGTTCCATAGCCCAGTTACAATCTTTGCTGTTACTTGTTTCATGCGTGGTCTTGACTTTTGATGGGGGCGGTAGGGGAGGCTTGCTGAAGATGAAATCGCCCAATCAAGACAGAGCCTATGCTTCAGGAGTAGAAGGGCAGTAGCATGACACTGGGCACCTGCGAATTGTATGAATGCCGTCACATTCCAAATGCTGCGAAATAAGCGTACGCTGGAGTCGCAAATTCACACAACCCGTATCTTATGTACGGTGTCTTTCTCCTTTTGGTCATCCAAAGTTTTTCTTTATAAGTAAACGTTTTTCACATCTGCAATGCATTCGAAGAGATGGCTTCTTGAAAATTAAGATTTGGTCAATTATAGTGATTAAAATGAAGACTCTATGATTTACTGAATATTTTCAATGTAAAATTTAAGTATTAAAGTTATGACATATAGCTTTAAAGGCACTATGTCCCGTCGGTCAACCGTTTAGAGTTAATAACAGGCTTTGCAGTGTGTTTAAAATCGATAAAACATTGACGATTAGCTGATTGGCTCCGTAACAATAGGTCTATTGTAAAGTCTAACCAATGGGAATTTAACTGGCCAGCGAATTGCGTCGGGACATGTTTTGATTCAATGGAAAATACAGAACTGTGAAGACAAAAATGAACTGTTTTCTTAATTTTGCTCTTCAGCTTTATGATTGGTTATAAATCTTTGATTTGGGAGAATACAGCCCGTGTAACATGCATACCTTGTAGATTTTCTAACCCCTTTAATTTAAGACGTATACATTGAAATAGCTGTCTGAAAATTGTATATAAAGTTTGAGGAGTTTATCGTTCTGCTTGACCTTTTCTTTGATTCACCTCAAGTAGCCTTCGTTTTGGCTCAACACTTCGATGTAATCAAGATAAGTACGTCAATCTGCGAGGAGAAAAGCAAAGCTTTTTAGCATAGCTAAAAAACGTTCATAATCTTTAAACCTGTGGGAACCAAACACCAAGAGTAGCCATAATTACTCAGATTAAACTTAGCTTCGCATCAAGGGAAAATGTTTTTTTCAGAAACAGGGAAGATTTTGGAGAAACCATGAGTTTTATATTTGTATAATCGGTATCTTGACTGTGTCGGTTAGTCCGTTGTCTTCTAATTATTTTTCCGCTGGTCTTGATGTACACTTAGTGAGCAAAGTAATGGCGACCGCGTTATCAACAACAAAGCGATCGAAACTCAAACCACTTTTGTGAAGCCATTAGGCGTCTTTTTATGGTTAAAATCTAATCAAACCAAACTTCAAACCATTGACAACACTTTTAATTTTAAATGAATAGGGGCTTCTTGCAACGGTACATGGATGTACATACAGTAAGTCATCGAATAACCTCTCGGGTTTTGCAAAAAATATTCTAGAACGAGGGCTTATTCGAATGTGAGGGGAGGCTGTGGGCTAATTTACCAGCATCCAAAAATATTACCAGGGCAAACTTTCTTGTTCTATTTGGGCTGTTCAGTATCCTTAAAATGCTTGATTATATACTTTTTGAAGGCTGCACCAGGAAAGCAGTTATCTGCTAAAGTAATTGGCAAGTGAAAACTGCGGCTGGTTTAGTTGTACCAGCTAAATATACAGCTGTAACGAATTGCAAGACAATGGCAACTCGATGGCAATAACGCTCATCAAAAGCTTATCGAAAAGTTGGACATATATAAGAAATTTATGTAGAATTGGACAAGAATTTGAAAATAGCAAGAAATGTTTTATTTTCTGAAGCTGGTCAATGAGTTGAGTGATAACTTTGATTTGTGAGGAAAATAACGATATGAAGTTTTCTTTTAAATGCCGGTAGCCCCCTTGAGGACTTATTCGAGGGTGGGGGGTTATTTCACAAAAACTATTTAGGATGTGGCTTATGCGATGTGGGGGCTATTCGAAAGTGAGGCCTTTTTTAAGGACGTACGGTGGAAGAAAATAAGTTTTTGGTAGTTATCGGCTTCTGCTTTGTGCAGGGCAGCTATATGTACTCTGAATCTTGTGTGTTGGCATGAGGCACTTAAGGTTATTCAATATGCATTACTACGCCCTCAATTTATCAAATGACAGGTGAATGCTCTGTTGCTTTGCACAGTGCTTTCGACCATTGCTTTTCCTTGTGTTTAGGTTTTTGGTACATGTTGTTATGTAATAATATAACTTGAAGTTAAGGTTGTATTATACAAGAAAACTTAGAGAGAATCAGTCATTGCCATAAGCACAGAATAGTAGAAAGGGAAACTCCATGAGAATTTGACGCTTTTTGCAAGCGCACGTGTGACAAGGCTAGCAATGGTTGTCCACTTTGTTATATAGAAACTTTGTCAGCTTTGTAAACGGCTGATATAGAAGGCCTGCCTACAGGTAAAAAATAAGAATTCCTTGTCGCTTTTAAAATTTGCTCTCGTACAATATAACAACATGTATCAAAAACCTAAACACAAGAAAAAGCCTTGGTTGAAAGCACTGTGCAAATTTGATAAATTGAGGGCGTAGTAATGCATATTGAGGAACCTTGAGTCAACAAAGAAGCTCACTAAGACAAATTTTACAAGATTTGACGAATGGTGCCTTTTACTCACAGGCTGCAGCTAACAATTGGAGTTTGCCCTATAAAACTTAGAAGATGAACGATCACAACGTTTGTCATGGGGAATTTTCTAGTTTCCATACTGCTCGATCTGATAGTCATAAATAAGCATGATTAATAGTCATAAATTAGTATGATTAATTATTTCAAGTAAAGGGTTAGGGTTAGGGTTAGGGTTAGGTTTAGGGTTAGGGTTTGGTTTAGGGTTAGGGTTTGGTTTAGGGTTAAGGTAAACTAATTACATCATCAGGTCGAGCAGTATGGAAACTAGACAGCTCCTTGACATGGTCTGCCACTTCTCTGAAGCGAGGTCAACCAAACGACAATTGTTTTCCTCGCTTCGAAAAAACAACAAGGGAGCGCGGAGAGTTTCTTTCTACCCATTCTTTGTTCTGCGTCAGAAGTACCACTAAGGGTAGAGTTTTCTAATCCTTGATGAGAATTCAAGCAAAAATGTTTGGCAAATGTAGCCAGTAAGTAGTACTTCTGAAAAATACACCATAAAAATACAGACCATTAGGGTCTAAGTATTTTAAAGATTATAAAATTAGCCCTGATTTTGCCAATCTAATCATAGAAATTGTTTGTTGCAAACTAGTTTTTTCCTCTTCTCTCCTCGAGCGCGTATGATTGTATGTTAAAGCCCTTGAATAACCCAAAACATGACCCTTCTTTTATTAAAGGGGCTAATGTTTTGCTACAGGTTTCACAGTGCTTTTGGGGGTTGATTTTCTTTGGATACGCTTAATTATTAAAAAGGGAGTTGTAAGAATTAGTAGAAAACTGGATGTGTCAATAGACTGTAGACAGGTTATAATAGGCCATCGCTTTATAGTTACTGTTGTCTTCTTAATTGTAGCAAGCATCTCCCAAGTTCAACAAGATTGCCTTTTATCTGGTTCCATACTCGTCAAATGGATCAAAGAACAGCAACAAGCGGTAAGATTATCTTAATTATCTTCTAGCCATTTTATTCAAAACTTAGACTTTTGTAGTCTTTGCGTTGACCTGATTCTGTCTGTTTCCATCCTATCATTATCCTGATTAATTTTACAAATCCCTGTGAAATTGTTTATATAATATACAATTGCAGTTGCGCAGTCCCGACATGAAGGTTTCATGTTGTTTCTGCTTCTGCAGCTCTGCACACTACTTCTGATAATCTTCTCCATTCTTTGCGGACTTTTACTGTGGATCGTATCTTTTCAAAATCTCAAAATCTGAAACTGTATAAATACCTTTAAATATCTATTTATCTCTTTCAGATCTCTATAAATAATCATAAATCTCTGTGAATCTCTGTAGATCTCTAGAAATGTCTATAAATCTCTCTAGGTCTCTATAAACCCCTGTAGATCTCTCTAAAGCTCTTTTAATCTCTCTAAAGCTCTGTTAATCTCTCTAAAGCTCTTTTAGATCTCTATAAATAATCATAAATCTCTGTAAATATCTTGAAATCTCTGTAGATTTATATACAATTTCTATACATCTCTATAGATCTCTGTACATTCCTACTATTCATTTGAAATCCCGATAAATTTCAGAAGATTTTTATAAAACTCAGTAGCCCTCTTTTAAACTCTGTAAATCTCTAAAAATCTCCTTTGGCCGCTCTAGATCACTTTAAATCATCAAAGGTCTCTTTAAATCTCTATAAATCTATGGAAATCTGTGTGAATCCTTTCAAATCTCTTTATACCTTATAACCTTGAAGTTGCATTTGACTCAAAATTCGAGGTATTATCCGGGAGTAGATCCCACTGGTTAGGTGTAGGTTCCTCGAAGATTTGAGACTCATAAAGATTAAAAAGTTCGTTTGAATGGCTAGATTTTCCAGTTCGTTTTTACGAAATCTTCTTCTCATTGAGTGCGCAAGTCCTTTTCTACATTGTAGTAAACTTGGCTTAAAAGTTTTATAGTAGCAAGAATTACAAATTCTTTGGAAAGTCCTATGAGTCAATAAATTCTGTTAATCTTTCAAAACTTCATAAATCCCAAAAATTTCAGAAACTTTTTAAAACCATGAATTATCAATTTCTTTTTTCAATGATTTATACCTTAGATTACTCTTCAAATTTTTGCAAAAATAATTTTTGCAGAATTGGCCCTTTAATAAACATTGGTAGATCTTCTTTTCTTTTCAAGATTTAAGAATAAACAATGTTAGATCTTCTTTTCTTTTCAAGATTTAAGAATAGACAATTGATGTTAGATCTTCTTTGTTTTTTATGATTTAAGAATAAATAGTGATGAATCTTCCTTCTCTTTTTATTTGACTTTATATGAACGGTGTTAGATCTTCCTTTTATTCTTGTTTGATATAAGAATGAATAGTGATAGACCTTCCTTCCTTTATAAGTTTTGGAAATGAACAGAATTTGATCTTCTTTTCCTTGATATCACCTAAGGTTGAACATTGATGGATCTTCCTTTAATCTATACGATTTAAGAGTAAATAGTGATAAAGCTTCATTCCGTTATATGATTTAGGTATGGTCAGCAATAGATCTTTATTCCCTTCATATCATTAAAAGATAAACAGTGATAAATCTTCTTTTTTTCATGTGATTTGAGAAAATAATATTTTATGATCCATGTGATTTAAGATTAGAATAGTGAAAGATCTTTTACACTTTATGTGATTTAAGAAAATAATATTGTGGTCATCCCTTCCATTATATGAGTTAAGAATTATCAGTAAGAGATCTTCTTTTCCTTTGTCAAATTGAGAAAGATCAGTAAATGATCTTTCTTCTTCTTTATAAATGGAGCAAGACCGGAAAATGATTTTCTTTTTTAATGGAAGAGGAGAAATGAAATATCTCCTTTTCCTTTTATGAATTAGGGATAAATATCGATAGATCTTCCTTTCTTTTTACAAATGAATGAAGACCTTCCAAAATCTTCCTTTTTAGTACTACTTAGATAGCTATTCATAAGTTTATTTGTTTCATTGAGATGCGGCCTGCTTTAGCTGTTGGAATTGTGATTAAAAATGCACAACCACCAATTTTACTAACGACAGAAATATACTTCCTCAGAAAATCAAGTGATTTGAAACAGTTTTTCGGTAAGTTATGCCACGAAAAAAAAGCAAACATTTTGTCAGTCAGTGAGAACTATGATTGACTTTTTACTACAACAAAAACTTTTCTGATGAATTGCCTCGCTAAAACGTAAATCTGCGTGTATGCGTTACAACAAAGAAAATCCAATTCAACTTGAGCTTTAGAACTGGTGCGTTCGAATGTCATCTCAATCTTCTTTATTGCAGATGTTTTCACATTTTTATAGAAATTTAATACGTATTGAAGTATAATACTTTCTATAAAATATTGTATTCAATTTAGCCAGATAAAATAAAGAAATTCGTTTTGACTTTAGATGTATGGATATAAAGTTTTACTTCACTTTTCAAGTTTATTATCTTCCCAGCGTCTTAAGGGAATTAATTTTGCAAGAACAATAATTTTTGTGGATTTTTTTACAAATTTAATCAGGTATTAATTCTTGCTGATGGAAAAATTCGAATACTGCACAGAAATTATTTAAAATCTCCCGATTTTCAATTTTCTTTGATTGGAACGTCTGAAGTTTAGGAAGGTCTGATAAATAGATCTCCTTTAATTTTTAAAGTTATGTAATCAAAAACAGCTTTCTGAGAGAATAGCTCCCTCTAGATGAAAACAATTTGAAGTTTTCCATGACAGGCAATGTAAGAGATCTTGAGATTGAAAGAAAAGATGCCTATAAAAGGTGTGCAGGATCTTAGAAATACATTAGCAATAGTATTTGCCATTACTAAAAGAAAGACAGGGGAATAAAGCCATAGATCTAGCGGGAAAAATCTTCAGATGCTCAAATGGACTCATTTTTGGCCGTTTAATGATTCGACTTAAAACTGTGTCTTTGGGAGGGTCAATAGAGTTGTAAACTTTGAGCCGAATTTCAACTAAAGATCCTCCCACTTAAATTGCTGGGTAAATTTTTTGTCTTTTTTTAAGAGCAAAAATTAGTGTTAATCTATAGCTTAGATTTCAAAAACATATTTAATTCCAGTAAGTACAAGATGACACTAAATGGAGCCACTGAGGCTCAAGAGATGAGTTCTCATAAAGATGCCTGACCATCTAGAGTTTTTGCTTCAATCCCAATACACATTTTCAACTAACCACGTTAAAGGGAACTGGATCGAGATTTGGGGTGAAAGACCGCGCGTGATTTGTGAAGACCAAAGTTTGGTTATTTCAGCCAATGCGTAACATTTTCAACTGACTTTCCACTCATAGAGTCATTCTGTAATGCTCTTTCGGGCTATTTTGTCCAGATTCAAAAATTTTAAACACAGATTTTGATCTCACATTTCTTAAAAACTCAATTCTCTCGATTTTCTAGACGACCAAAAAGTGACTGTATGTTAGTCCCCACGCAGATGGTTCATCAATTGTGTCAAGAAAATTACTTTGTCACTTTGCAGTAGATGAATTTTGTAAACATAGTTGAGTTTAACATTGACGAAAACAGACAGGTGCAGTGTATGCAAAAGCTATGATTTCATATTAAATCTAGTGCGTGATTCTGGGCAGTCATTCAACCAAAATTTCAAAATATCACGTCAGCCAGTTCTAAACAAGGAAAATATCTTTCCACAACTTATGAAACCGAATAAGCCTGTAAAGACTTCTTATATGAGCTGATATTATTTTTTAATAGGCAAGGAAGCAGTT